CTGCACAGGCGCGTCGGTGACGATTGTAAGAAGGAAATAAGGCACTGAGGTGAGAAAGGAAGAACCCTGCTTTCATACTTTTACTTGAAACAGCCTCCCACACAGCATCTGAGGTTACTGTGCTGTGCCAAAACAGCGGGAAAGCACACACAAACACAGATTTATATGCTAAAGAAGCAACTTGAAATTGCAAGAAGAAAAAAACATGCTCTTTGTCTCAGCAGTTATTTATGAGGTTTCTTTGAAGTAAGGACTTCTTCTAAATTTTTTTTCTTTTTTTGTGACTGTGGGTGTGTGTTTCGATTTGTGACTTTGTGCATCTTTACAGTAGAGTAGGGGATAATCCTCTCTCATCCTTGGTCCTGGCATGGCTCCAGGTCCAGTGCCTGATGAAAAAGCAACAGCAAGTTCCAGCCTTTATTAGCTGTTGGCTCAGAGACATTTGTTGTAGCATATTTGACATATGAGGCGTATATATCACCGATCCATGTTGCTCTCACTCCTCCCCTTACAACAACAAAGCTTTTTCTATGCTCTAAATGAGGTACAATGGGTTAATGATGGTTGCGTGCAGACGTGGCTATGCCCTCAATAATTACCTTGCTGGTTTTGCCTCCAGGTGTTCAGCAGACAGCTAATGATGTACTGTCAAAAAGGGAAAGGCAGCGGGTGAGGCACAGACAAGCTACACAGAGGAGAGTGTGAAACGTTGCCATCAGCACTGTCACAACTCGATGGGACAAGTAATCAATTACAGCCTGGAAAAAAAGCTCTATAACAAAACTGTATAATCGATAATCAGTAATGTTTCTGTCATCTGCTGGGTTCAAAACTGTAATCAATTCTAAGCATTCTCTATTTGTTGTAGGAAAAAGGTCTTTTTCTACTTTATAACCTGTATTCAATTTTGCTATGTTTTTGTCCCTCATTCAAATCAGTTATGAAAACATTTTCCTAGCTACATAGATGAAATATAGAACTCAAACCGTTACAGCAGATTCCATCTGGCATAACTGACAGAAACAGCCATACTCCACCCAAAACCTATGATACAAACTGAAAGACAACCCAACAGTCTTCAAGGGTGGTTTAAAAATGTTGCACTTTCAGGGTGGAGGTCAACATGTTTCAGTTACAGTATGACCCAGTTCTGTCTAGATGAAAATGTCTATAACTTCTCTTAAACCACTCCCGCAGCCCAATCTGCTTGTCTGCTGTCCAACCATGTGCTTTCTATTTTCAAAAAACTCATGTAGATTTGTGCAAATATGGCTCAATGCATAGCTTCAAGTATCAATGCTCATACACAGCCCCTCCTAGAATCGTTCACCCCACCTTCATTTCTACAGCATTCCTACTACAGTGTTTCACATTGGGAAATAAGATCATCCATGGAGAAAGCAATGTCCTGTGTGTGGAACAAAGATGAGCTACTTGCCGTATGTGTTAGGATGCATCCCAAGCTCTTACACAGGATTTTTATGTATCAAATTGCTGAGCAATGTAGCGATGCAATACACTGTTAGAAAGGTTGCTATATAAAATGGTGAGACATGACAATTGTGTTTAATGTAGACCTTGATGACTCTGACTCAGATAACAGGGACTCGACTCGAATTATTCTTTGGTGGCTCAGACTTGACTTGGATTCGAACACTAGGGATTCAAGACTTGAACTGGAGTCGAGGTTTAGTGACTTGACCACAGCGCTGCACACTACACAATGTGGTAATATATGGACTGGGCACAGTTTTACCACCAGAAAAATAAGTTGACTAGCCATCAATTACTGTGAAAACTGGCTACTCAGTTTGTATGGCTTTTTGCTAGGACACAAATGCTTCCAGCATTGTGTCTGCAGTCATCAGGTCATTGTGGAAACTGTGATGGCAAACCGCTTAAGTCTATTACGAGAAAACCTTACAGCACTACAGAAGCAGCAGAAAATTGTCCTACAGCTCCAGAGAAATGACTTTGCAGCTTTCTACAGAAAAGAAAAGGCAATCCAGACAGAAGCCACAGAGAAAGTCTGAACAGGGTATATCAGCTCCCTCACAGTGAGTGACACCACACTTCAGAAATCAGATCGAGTAATAAAAGACAGCTCACAGCACTGACTGAAATTATAAAAATGCATGCAAATAAGGAAGAACTCTCACAATGTAGTAAATGTCTGAAATTACAAGAAGGTAGTGACTCAGATGAGTGATACTGAATTAAGTGGTGTAAAGGTGAGCATCCCTGCCATGCTGACATGTTAACACATATGCTTGTGGGTCACATGTGAATGGAAAACTGTAAAAGAAACACCTGGGACAGCTTGTTAGTACAACTCATTAAAAATGACAAAGAAATAAGAATTTTAGAAATCCAGTTTGCACAATATGCAACATTAGTCAATTTACAGGCAATAGTAGAATGTACAGAATACTGCAGCTGAAAAATAATGACTTGCATAGACATCTACCACTGTGGAAAAAAGGGGGGAGTAAGTTTCTGACAAATCTACTGTACAATAATCGATTTAATGCAATTACTTTGCCTGCATACTGGACATTATATATGTCAAAATCATCATAATTTGCACACAACAGCTGTCCCTTATATGTATTTTACACATGATAGAACAAAAACCAGGAAGCCTTGAACATGTGTGCAAGTTGCAATGATGTTTTTCATGTGTGCCTACCTAACTGTATGTCACGGCACAGTATTTATCTATTTATTCAAATGAGCACGTGTTTATACATGCATAGACACCTACAGTAACAGTACTCCCCTGAC